AGAGGAGAAACTTGCAAGACCTGGAAAAACAAGGAAGTCCTGTGGAGTTCCAGCTGTGTTAACCAAACTCTATAGCTCACATAGGCTTCATTATTTGTGCTATACAGCCCTACGGGTTTTTGGAGGCAATGCCAGAATACTCGCTCATCTATGTCAAGAGATTTGGAAGATAGCTACTTTGCCAGCTGACTTAAGATCCATATTTGTGCCCATTCCAAAGAAAGCTGATCCAACAGAAAGCAGAAATTACTGAACAATATCTTTAATACCACACACAAGTAAAAATTTGCTGAAGAAAATTAAAACATGGCTGCAGCAGTATATTGACAGAGAATTGCCAGAAATCCAAGTTAGATTCAAAAAGGGATATGGAATGAGGGATATCATTACTGATATCAGATGCATCTTGGCAGAAAGCAAAGAACACAAGAAAGGCATTTACCTGTGTTTAATTGACTATGCAAAGGCATTCAACTGAGTGGATCATAATGAATTATGGATAACATTGTGAAGAGTGGGAATCCCAGAACACTTAATTGTGCTCAAGCAGAAGCTCTCCATAGACCAAGAGGCAGTTGTTCAAATAGAACAAGAGGATACTACAAGGTTCAAAATCAGGAAAGGTGTGCTTCAGGGTTGCATCTTTTCACCATACTTACTCAATCTGTATAATCCAAAGAAGCCGGACTATATGAAGAACATGACATCAGGATTGGAGGAAGAATCATTAACAACCTGTGATATGCAGATGATACAGCCTTGCTTGCTGAAAAGCCACGGTGACTTGACACACTTACTGATGAAGATCAAGTATGGTGTAAGATGAAGATTCAGTATATCTCACGCCTCAACGTAAAAAAACAAAAATCTCACAACTGGACCAATAAGCAACATCATGATAAATGTTGTTGTTGTTAGGTGCTGACAAGTCATCTCTGACTCATAGTGACCCTGTGCATAGCAGAATGAAACACTGCCGAGTTCCACGCCAGCTCCATGATCCTTGCTATACTTGAGCCCATTGTCACAGCCACTGGGTCAATCCATCTTGTAGAGGGTCTTCCCCTCTTTTATTGACCCCCCATCTTACCAAGCATGACATCCTTCTCCAGGGAATGGTCCCTTCTTACAACTTGACCAAAGTAGGTGAGACGAAGTTTGGCCATTCTTGCTTCCAAGGAGCATTTTGGCTGCACTTCCTCCAAGACAGATCTGTTAGTTCTTTTAGCAGTTCATGGTACTTTCAGCATTCTTTGCCTGCACCACAACTCAAAAGCATCAATTCTTCTTTGGTCTTCCTTATTCATTTTCCACCTCTCACATGCATACGAGACGATTGAAAATATCATGGCTTGTGTCAGGAAGCAGTGGCAGGTATCCAGGTAAGGCCAGGGACCTAGGCCATGCCCCACCCCAAGTGCCGGGAGAGCCGGGGAAAGCAGAGAAAAAGCCAGGGGGGACTAGGACAGGGTGAGGAAGCAGCAGCAGGGATCCAGGTAAGGCAAGGGACCAAGGCCACACCCTCAAGTGGCAGGAAAGAGGCAAGGATCCATATAAGGGGAGGGTGGGAAGGGAGGAGAGACAGCTAAGGGAGACAAACCTGTCTGTCAGTTTGTCCTACTGTGGTGACATGTTGCTGTGAGGCTTGAGGCTGTGACCAGTGTCTCAAACCCAGAGGGGTTGCACATGGTGCACAGGTTTCAATGCAGCTTACAGACTGAGACAGACTAGGGAGAAGGAAGAGGCCATCCACTTCTCAAAGAATTGGCCAGGGAAAACCTTATGAATAGCAGAGAAACACTGTCTGATACATTGATGTGCAACTTTATGAATATCCCAGAAACATTGTCCAATACAGTGCAGGAGGATAAGCCACTTAGATCAGAAGGCTCTTGAAATAAGACTGGGAAAGAGGTGCATCATCAGAATAGAATCAGCCGATGTCCATCAACTGAGGAATGGATAACCAAACTATGGTACAATACACACAATGGAATACTATGCAATGTTAAAGAATAATGTAGAATCTGCAAAACACTGCATAACGTGGATGAACTTGGAGGACATTATGCTGAGTGAAATAAGTCAATCACAAAAGGACAAATATTGTATTAGTCCATT